CAGCACAATTCACCATTGCAAGGATGTGGAAACAACCTAAGTGCCCATCAATCCATGAGTGGATTATTAAAATTTGGTATATGTTTACAATGGAATATTACTGAATCATAAGAAACGACGGTGATCTAGCACCTCTTATACATTCCTGGATTAAACTTAAGCCCATTATCCAAAGTGGGGCAACACAAGAGCAGAAGAACGGGATCCACTTGTACTCACCATCAAATTGGTACTAACTGATCAACACTAGGTTGATCACATGGCAGAAATACTCTCTAGGGATTAGGGGGATGGGGGGGCAAATCTACAACTAAAGGACACGGGGAGCACTAAAGGGAGGGAAGGGCATGACTTTAACCCGCACTTGGGTGAGGCAAAGACATAAAGTGTAACTATAATGTTTATACCCTCACAATACCCTGGAATTAAAAAAAAAAAATAGAGTCTGGTGGTTCCTTAAAAGGTTAACCATAGAGTTAAGCACTTCCACACTTATGTATATACCCAAAAGGAATTAAAACATGCAGCCACACAAAAAGTTGTACACAAATGTTTATAGCAGCATTATTCATGATAGCCAAAAAGTGGAAACAACCTAAATATCCACACGGATGAATAAACACAATGTGATATATCCCTACAATGGAATATTATTTGGCAATAAAAAGGAATGAAATGCTGATACATGCTACAACATGGATAAACCTAAAAAACATGCTAAGCAAAAGAAGCCAGTCATAAAAAGACCGTATGTTGCATGATTCAATTTATATGAAATGTCCAGAAGCAGCAAATCTATAGAGACATAAAGTAGATAGGGCTGGGGGCGGGGGGGAGGGAAATGAGGGGTGATAGCTATAATAGGGTTTCTCTTTGGGGTGATGAAAATATTCCAACATGTGGTGTTGGTGATGGTTTCACAACCGTGAATATACAAAAAAGTCATTGACGTGTATACTTCAAATAAATGAATTACATGGGATGTAAATGATGACTCGGGTTCCCCTGGGCTCACTGCAGTGAGTCAGAGAGCCTGTGGGGAACAGACGGCCCTGGAATCCCTTCTTCCAACTGATGTAGCATCCTGTGGTTTGCCCAATACCCCAAAACCTGGGCTCAGAGCTGCCCCTGACCTGTCCCAGCAAGCAGGCTGGACTCCCCTGGTGCTCAGGCCGCCGTCCTCAAGTGATCTGAGGCTGTCAGGGAAGGAAGAGCTCCCGTGGGCTGAGCACCTACTCTTAGCCATGTGCTTTGTGCAGGGCCGGGACTAGGGGAGGACTTTCAGGACCTTGACAGTGAGCACCTCCTTAAATTTTCCATCCTAGGCACCTCACTCTAGTGCCAGCCCTGGCCATGTGGCATATACCCAGTGCTTTATCTAATCCTTATGACATCCCTGTAAGACTCATATGACTTCATGACAGATGCAGGTTTGGAGACTCAAACAGAGCAGGTTTGCTGGCTCCAGAGTCTGTGCTCTTTCCAGCCCTTTCCCCCACCTGCTGAGTAGAGGAGCCCCTGGGAAGGAAGCCCCTTGCAACCAAGGGGCGCTCAGCAAGACTGCCAGCTGCTACCCACCTCCTCAGAACAAACCTCTGGGGGCTCTGCCCAAGCGGCCTTGCCTGAGTCTGTGTGGAAGATGGGAATTCCAAGACCTCCTAACCATCACCGGGGAAGAGAAAACATTCTCTTGAAGAGCCAGATTGGCCACTAGAACCCAAGGGCACCAGTCACTGTGGCCAGCAAGTCAGCTGGGACCTAGGCTGCAGTTCACAGCTCTCCCACTCAAATGTTGTTCACTCATTCATTCAACAAACACATTGAGAACTTACTATGTGCCAGGCCCTGTTTAAAGGTCCTGGGTACACAGTAGCAAACAGAACATTCCAGTGGGAGAAACAGAAAACACAAATAAGTAATCAGGAAACATTAACCCATGAACAATCCAATGATGAAAATAAAATCGCCATGAGACAGGGATGAGGGGCCCAGCAGGCAGGCTTAGAGGAGGCCCTCCCTGCACAGTGGCAAGGAGAGGCCTCTGCGGCTTTGGACAGGCAGGTGCGGCGAAGTGTGGGCACCGTGCTCTGTGGGGTAGAAGATTCTGGGTGAGTTTTCTTGGTGTGTTTCCTTGGAGACTTCTAAGTGCCGGCACAGTCTCCCCTGTGCTGAGAGGACCTTGGAAAGAGGCTGGTGGCTAAGCTGGAATTGACAGGAAGGGAGCCCCTCACTCCCAGAGGACCAGCTGGAATGTGGACAGGGACCCAAACTAGAGATTTGGGGAGGGGGTTCCTCGTGGGGAAATCCTGGGGTAACTAGAGCTGCTCACCCACCCTCTTTTCCTAATGCCTCTGCTCAGCCTGCGGGGCCTTCTGTGTCTGGTTAGGGCAAAGACGGCTGATCCAGGCTTCCAGGTTCGGTCCTTCCCAGCCTAACTTGCACCCCCAAGTGCCCAGAGAGCCTCGGGAAGGGCAGGGCATGGCCCAATGCCTTCCAACCATTCCCAAGGCCTCGGGGCTCTGCCCCTGTCCCAAGTTTCCCCAAGCAGGGCTCCTGAAGAAAGATGTTCATGGGCCAGTGTTCTCGGAACTCCCAATCAGTCCTTCAGGCCGCGAAGTGCAGGTGACTGTGCCCATCCTACAGATGCAGACGTGGAGGCCAGCTCAAGGTCCACGGTCCCACAAATGGTCAGCAGAAGAACCGGATCTGGGCACATAGAGGCCGCGACTTTTCTCCCTCCTTTTGATTCTCCCCGGAGACGAAGTCCCCCGCTGTGGGGAGCGCAGGTCTCACCTCCGATTCCTAAGGGCCTGGTCTGGGCGGCAGGGACAGAGCGTGCGGCCTCAGTCCCGCAAGTCCGGCCCTCTTCTGGCCTCGGTCTTCGGTCCACACCGGAGCGAGGTGGGCTGGGAGCTCTGGACCCCTGGCGTGGCTCCGCGGCCCCGCCTTCCCCCGACCTCACCTGGCTCCCGGGCTGGCCCCGCCGGCCCCGCCCGCCTCCCGCGCTTGCCGGGCCTGGGCCGCCTCCGCCCGGGCGCGGGTCTATCCGGCCGTCGGATTAATATCCAGATATTAAGTAAACAATAAATTAGCAAAACTACAAGAAAATTTTACAGCCCTTTGCATTTGGCAATCATTGAGTGTTAATTAGAAATTCATTACAATTAAAACCCTGCCTAAACAGGGCCTGCGCGCCTTAATTACATCTGATTTTTAATTCAGAATACGTGTTTACACAGTAAGCGCTACGTACCCCATGATTATCCCCAATCCTCTTTATACTGTACTAATTATGTAAATTAAACCTAATTAACTGACGAAAACTGCCGTTAATTCAACTGGTAAAAGATATGTGCTTGCGGAGGAGCGCGGCCGCCCAGCCCCAGCCGCAGCCCGAGCCCGAGTGGACGCGGAGGCGGCGCACGCCCGGCCGGGCGCGGGGAGCACGCCAGGCGCGCCCCGGATCCGGAGTCCGGCTCCCGACCCTGGTGCCACCGGGCAGCCGATAAAAGAGACTCCCCGGGAAACGGGGGTCAGAAAGGCCACAGGCAACGACTCCTGCGGGCTCCCCGGGCTCAGGCCAGAGCCGCAGGACCCAGAGCTGCCACCGGGGAAGAGGGGTCCCACCCCGCCCCGGCCGGGCCTGGGTGTAAGTCCCAGCCCTGCTACTCGCTGACTGCCCCGAGCAAGTGCCCTGGCTTTACTAGGCCTTTTCCTCCGCCCATGTGTCGTGAGGGTGACAACAAAACCTCCTGTGCCGCAGGGCGCGGCGCCCTCCTTGCCGTCCCTTCCCTCAGCTAGGCCGTCTGCAGCGCAGCGGGCAGCGTGCCGGGCACGGCAGTCTGGTCTAGGGGATCAGCCGGCCGCCCTTGACCGAGGAGCCCGGTGAGGAGGAGGGCGTTGGCTTCCACCGTTGACCTCAGTTTCCTGCCTGTAAAATGGGAATAAATGATCCCTACTTATCCTCAGGGCCCTGTGAGAACCGGCTGTGCAAACCGTAAACGCTGTCCGCAGCGGTGATAACGGACCAGACGCTGGCCCAGAGCACGGCCCCAGCCGCGACCCTGAGACCTGCTCCCCGGAGACCCGCACTGAGTGGCGGGGCTTCCCCAGCCGCTCGCCACGCGCCTTCGGCCTTTCTCCGGCGTGGACCGGCGACTGAAAGCTGGGCGACTCTCCTGGGGCGGGCAGAGGCACGGGGAGCTGTCCGTAGCTTGGTGCTGAACGCGAACGCGGGGGCGACACTGCACTACCACTGGTGCGGTAATCCGGGGTGGCGCTCTTTGTCTGAGAGGTCCCTGGCCCCGCGGGTCCGGCTACAGGCAACGCCCTAGAAGCTAGCCCGGGAGGCGTCGCTGGTCCTCGAAGTACAATAGAGGCAGGACAGGTAGCCCCTGCCCAGGGGGACCTTGCCCATCCCCTCTTCCTTCCCACCCCTCATTCCCCCGGGGGCGTCCTAGCTCTCTGGTCGTTGTCACCGCCATACCGAATTCTGAGATGCCTTTTAAAAAATCATTAGGAGGCCAAGAATAATTACTGAAGGAGATTGTAATTATGGGGTGGGGGAGCCTGCGCTGAGAGAGGGGGGGACCAGCGGATAGGGACTGGGCCAGGGCCGAAAATAGGTTCCCGCTCCCCCGCTCCCCGGGCAGGGTTGGGGGTGTGGATAGGGAGCTGCAGAGTTGGAGCCGGACAGAGGTAGCGCCTGGGAGAGACGCGGGGACGGAGGGGCCAGAAGCAAACAGAGAGAGAGGGGCCGAGCGGGCTCCAGGACTCATCTGGGAGAAGAGTTGGGAAGGCAGGGAGATCGCAGCCAAGGGAGGGGAGAGAGCACGAGCCTGATCTAGAAGACACTCTGCAGAGGAGACAGGGCCCCCAACTTGGGAGTGGCTTTCCGGGTCTAGGAGAACACGCTAGTCCGGGTAGGGGGAGAGGGCGAGTGGGTCTCCAGGCCGTTCCTCTCCGAGGGCTAGGCCTGCGCGACCCGGTGGTGCTTCCAGAGGCCTTTCCCGGGTCCCCTGCGAGCCCGCAGGGAACAGAAGAGAGAGGGGGCAGCGGGAGAGAGGAGCAGCCACGTTCCCCGGAGGCGCCGGAACGCAGGAGGCAAGAGGGCCCATACCCGAAAGCAAGAGGGAAAGCGAGGCGGCGGGGCGAGGGCGACCCCGCGCCGCTACCCACGGAAGATTTATGGCGCCGCCCGGGTTCCAAGGACAGGCTGCGCTCGCCGCTGCTGCCACCGTCGGTAGTCGCGGTGGCCGCTGCGCCCCCTGCCCGGGCGGCCCGCCGCGCCCCGGGCCATCCCTGCCATTATTAACTTCTGTTTGATTAGGGTAATTGTTCAAACTTGGGCCGGACAGTATGATTAATTACAGTTTAATTAACGTGTCCATTAAGGACACTTAATGCCACAGGGGCAGGGAGGGGGGTGGAAGCGGCGGAGGGGGCGCTCGGTGCGGGCAAGGAGGGGCGGGGGTGCGACTAGTAACTCAAGTGACGAAGTAGAGACAGAGATGGAGAGAGAGGGAGAAGACCGGGACCAACTGATGTCAGGGAAAAGAATGGTTGACGACAGAGACCGACAGAGATAGAAATGAGAGAGAGGAGAGAGAGAGAGAGAAATGGAGCTTGGGGGAGAGAGAAGGTGCCAAGGGGCGTCTGTGGCGTCAGGGGGCTGGACCTCCACCACCGGGAAACTGAGTTAGCAGCGTGAAAAGAGAAGTTGCCTTCAGGTCTCTCCGAAGATAACTTGGCTCCTGCCCTGGGCCTGTTGGCGACCGCGAGCGGAGGCACTCGAGGCTGAGGGTCCCAGTTCCCTAGTCCTCCTGCCGAAGCAGGAGGGCGACCCTCCCCAGGCTAGATCGTTCCTGGTGTCCCCCGCCTAAGTCCGGAGGGTGGGCGAGACGGATCTGCTCCCTTCCCGCAGCCATCCCCAGTGGCCCGCACCCAGGGACCTGTCCCGGCCGCTGGTGACCTACTGGTTCCCCAGGGCCACTCTGGGCTCCACCACTCTGGCCCTCCCCTGCGGCCCGAAAGTGAGGTGCCTCTCCCTGCGTCCCTTTCTCCGAAGCCCCCCTCAGCCCCATCACCGGGCCCTGGCCCAGCCCAATCCTGGCCCCTTGGCGGGGAGTACTGGGCCCTCCCCATTTGGTTCTTGGGGGCAAACTTTGCGGCCCCAGGCCCTTCCTCCCTCTTGGCCTCTCGGGCTAGCGCGGGACGCAGGTGCGGGGCGCGGGGCGCAGGTGTGCGGCCGCTTACCTGGGGCGCGCAGGCCTTGGGGCTACGGGGAGGCGGTGGGCGCCGCGTGTGGCCCGCGGGCGGGCGGACCGGGGAGGGCGCGAGTGACTGCGCGGGCGGTGGGTGTGGCGGCGCGGCTCACAGCTGTCAGGCGCGCCCGCCCCGCGCCGGCCTCACCACTCCGGCTGTGACCGCGCCTTGCCCGCCGCCGCGCCATGCGCGCCGGGCTTCGGCCTCTTCTTCCGGCCAGCCCCCGGCCTCAGGGACAGCGGCTCAGGGCACACGTCTCCGCGCCCGGAGCCCCGGCGTCCCGCGCCCGCTGAGAGCAGGAGGGGCGGCGGGTGGGAGCGCGGAGAGCCGGGGAGCGCGGCTGTGCGCGCGCGCGGGGAGGGGCCGCGCCGTCACCCTGAGAGCCCGGCGGATCCCGGACTCCCGCCCGCCGCTCCGCCCGCCGCGCACCTCCGCTCGCCGCTCGCCCGGCTCCAGCCGCCGCCGCACGGTGAGTACCCGCCGCCGGTAGCCTGCCGACCCTGCGCCCTGCCCCTACGGCTTTGATTCGTTTAGTTCTGATTTGGGCTCTTGTGGCTGTTGTTTTTGTCATTAAACCTAATGACTCCACCGCCTCGTCCGTGCTGCTGCCTGCCTCCCGCCTCGTTGCCCTTTCCCAAGCTCACCCCTCAAGCCCCAGCAGCTGATGACGGTTTCCCCAGCTGCCCTGGCCGCTGCGCCCGGTCGCTGCGCACGGCTTTTCGCCTGTGCTTTCCGCTTTGGCCCCCGAAATTCTGTTGCTCTCCTAGGGCCTCCCCTTCTCCTGGCTCCAGGGCCTGGACACCCCCCCACCGCCAGGGGAACCCCACGGTGACCCAGGACCCTCAGCTTCGGGAGGACGCGCTCGGCTCAGGGCGCTCTCTTCACTGTATGCGGGCCAGGCGCACTTGCCAATTTCGGGAAACCGAGAAGCCATCGTCATTTCCCAGAGCCACGCGCCCTCCAGCCTCCTCCGCAGCCCGCCCGAGAGCCCTCCGGGGGGCACGGGGCTTGTCTCGCTAACCCTTCAGCCGGGAGTTAGGACAGTGCTTTTGCCTCCTAAAATGACAAGGGACTTCAATGTGAGCAGAGGGTCAACTTGTTTCAGTTGCATCCTCAGCGATGAAGATGAAACAGACAGATAACAGATAAATAGCTTGATACTTGAAGAAGGTACGAAGACAGATGGGAGAAAGAGCAGCGAGCTGGCAGAGACAGACAGCTCAGGGACAGATAAGATCTACACATGAGGGGCACCCAGACAAATAGAGAGGGCGAGAGACGGACAGAAGAGTCCACTCTCCTTGCTAAAGGCTTTTAAACTCGGATCCCTTGTCCGCCTGGAGCTGCCTTTCTGAAAATGGATTTGCCTTCCCGGCCAAGTTTAGGGGAGGGGCCCTCAGGGTTGGGCTGCTCCCCACGGCAGCCATGCGCCAGGATGGAGCCCTGCGTGTCAGAGGACAAGTGGTTGGGCCCAGCGACCTAGAGGGGCCCAAACATCAGTTCCCGGGTCCCCCTGCTGCTGAGGTCTGCCGGTGCGGCTGCCTCCCTGCCTCAGCTACAGAGCAAAGCTGGGGACCGGCAGCAACTTTTCTGCCTGGAGGCTTTTAGTGGCTTCGAAGACGGCCGGGATTCCTTCCAGCCCCTAAGAACCAGGACAGCGGGTCAGGAAGGATACTCAGAGAGGAGATCTCCCAAAAGAGGAAGCCCAGAGCCCCAGGATCCCGCATTTGGCCTGGGTGGGAAAGGCATTTCTGAAGGAGGAAAGCTCAGGGAGGGGGCGACTGGAAGCGAAGAAGTGGCTCCTAAGAAACTTCCTTGAGAACCTCTCCATCCCTCGCGCGGACCCCAGTGGAAACCAACTTTGGTCTGGAACGCAACTAAAGATGCAGAAATGTGGTTAGGAACTGCATAATCCTGGTCCCACGAATGGCTGGAAAGAAAACGGTTTATATATCGAGCCGGAATCTTTCTGCTCAACGGACCCGGGACGTCAGGCTTGAGAGAAGAAGCACGGGTTTGTGGAAACTGGCACTGTTGTTCTCGGAAACCGGCTCGGCGCGGAGCTCAGTGCGGTGGGAGCTGCCCTGGGTCTGGGTGCGCACGGCGCGCTTTGGAGAGGGTCGGGTTCAGCACCACGAACAGCGGTCGCCTCCGCCTCTCTCCCTCCCAGGCAAACCTGGGTCCCTCCCCCTTTTCCCTGCCTCCCCCACCCCCCGCTGTCTGGAGATGGGCAGTGACCGCCCCTCCCCCGCCTCCCTACCCCTCCCCGCGCTGCCCTAGCCCGCCCGCGTGCATGCGCGACTGAGCAGAGGGGCGGCGGGTCCCCGAAGTCCGGGCTTCAGGACCCCGGCCGGCAGGACCGGCTGCAAGGGTGGCCGAAGGCGCACGGACCTGGGCGTTGGAAAGCCTGAGTTTGGCAATGGCTTTGCTGTGTGGCCTTGGGCAAGTCACTCTGCGTCTCTGGGTCCCACTTCCTCCCCAATCCGAAAACAGGATTGGGTTCCTAGCAGCTCTGGCATTCCAGAGGTCTCCATTACCCCTTCTCCTCCCCCAAACCCCGGGGGCTTTTGTTGTGACGCCAAGACGGGTCTGAATAACAAAAGGCACCCGTCCAGGGGGCGAACGAGCTTGGACTCCCCACTGCCAACTGTTCCTGCGCGCCCGACTCGGCGCGCCCCGCTGGGCGGGCCCGAGCCGCCGTGGCGGCGGTGCTGAAAATGGCTCATCCGCTCTTTGCTTTCTCTGTTTCGCAGGAGCGGCGGCATGGAGGCTCTCACCACTCAGCTGGGGCCGGGGCGCGAGGGCAGCTCCTCGCCCAACTCCAAGCAGGAGCTGCAGCCCTACTCCGGCTCCAGCGCTCTCAAACCGAACCAGGTGGGCGAGACGTCGCTGTACGGGGTGCCCATTGTGTCGCTGGTCATCGACGGTCAGGAGCGCCTGTGCCTGGCGCAGATCTCCAACACCCTCCTCAAGAACTACAGCTACAATGAGATCCACAACCGCCGCGTGGCCCTGGGCATCACGTGCGTGCAGTGCACGCCGGTGCAGCTGGAGATCCTGCGTCGGGCCGGGGCCATGCCCATCTCCTCTCGCCGCTGCGGCATGATCACCAAGCGCGAGGCCGAACGCCTGTGCAAGTCGTTCCTGGGTGAGCACAAGCCACCCAAGCTGCCCGAGAACTTCGCCTTCGACGTGGTGCACGAGTGTGCGTGGGGCTCGCGCGGTAGCTTCATCCCCGCGCGTTACAACAGCTCGCGGGCCAAGTGCATCAAGTGCGGCTACTGCAGCATGTACTTCTCGCCTAACAAGTTCATCTTCCACTCGCACCGCACACCCGACGCCAAGTACACACAACCCGACGCCGCCAACTTCAACTCGTGGCGCCGTCACCTCAAACTCAGTGACAAGTCTGCCACAGACGAACTGAGCCACGCTTGGGAGGACGTCAAGGCCATGTTCAACGGCGGCACACGCAAGCGGACCTTCTCGCTGCAAGGAGGCGGTGGAGGGGGCTCTAATGGCGGGTCGGGTGGGCAGGGCAAGGGTGGTGCTGGCGGCGGTGGCGGTGGCGGCCCGGGGTGTGGCGCGGAGATGGCCCCAGGCCCGCCGCCCCACAAAAGTCTGCGCTGTGGCGAAGACGAGGCTGCCGGTCCTCCGGGACCACCTCCTCCCCATCCGCAGCGCGGACTTGGCCTGGCCACCGGAGCTGGCGGCCCGGGGGGCCCGGGAGGGCCTGGTGGCGGTGCCGGCGTACGCAGCTACCCGGTGATCCCAGTGCCCAGCAAAGGCTTTGGCCTTTTGCAAAAGCTGCCCCCACCACTTTTCCCGCATCCTTACGGTTTCCCCACCGCCTTTGGCCTATGCCCCAAAAAGGACGACCCGGTGTTAGGCGCGGGCGAGCCTAAGGGCGGCCCTGGTGCTGGGAGCAGCGGCGGCGGCGGCACTGGTGGGGGAGCTGGAGGCCCGGGAGCCGGCCACTTGCCCCCGGGGGCAGGGACGGGCCCGGGCAGCGGCGCCATGTTCTGGGGGCATCAACCCTCCGGGGCAGCCAAGGACGCAGCGGCTGTGGCTGCAGCGGCCGCCGCCGCCACTGTGTACCCGACGTTTCCCATGTTCTGGCCGGCGGCTGGCAGCCTCCCGGTGCCGCCCTACCCGGCTGCGCAGAGTCAAGCTAAGGCCGTGGCGGCCGCCGTGGCGGCAGCAGCGGCGGCGGCGGCAGCAGCTGCAGGTGGCGGCGGCCCAGAGCCCCTGGACAGTGCTGAGCCAGCCAAGGAGGGCGGCCTGGGCGCGGAAGAGCGCTGCCCGAGCGCTCTGTCCCGTGGGCCGCTGGACGAAGACGGCGCGGACGAGGCGCTGCCACCGCCCCTGGCCCCGCTGCCCCCGCCGCCGCCGCCGCCCGCACGCAAAGGCTCCTACGTGTCAGCCTTCCGGCCGGTGGTCAAAGACGCCGAGAGCATTGCCAAGCTCTACGGTAGCGCCCGCGAGGCCTACGGCCCTGGGCCTGCTCGGGGGCCGGGACCGGGCACGGGGACCGGCGGCGGCTACGTGAGTCCGGACTTTCTGAGCGAGGGCAGCTCCAGCTACCATTCTGCCTCTCCCGACGTGGACACCGCGGACGAGCCTGAGGTGGACGTGGAGTCGAACCGCTTCCCCGACGACGAGGGCGCGCAGGATGAGATCGAGCCCAGCGCGCCCAGCGCGCCCAGCGCGGGAGGTGGCCCAGACGGCGACCAGCCCGCTGAGCCCCCGTCCGCCACCTCCTCAGGCGCAGACGGCCCCACAGACTCTCCCGACGGCGGCAGCCCCTGCCCCCGGCGCCGCCTCGGACCACCCCCCGCTGGCCGGTCCCCATTCGGGGACTTGGCGGCGGAAGACGTGGTGCGGAGACCCGAGAGGAGCCCACCGAGCGGCGGCTACGAGCTGCGAGAGCCTTGCGGGCCCCTGGGAGGCCCCGTGCCGGCCAAGGTGAGCCCCGCGCCCGCCCCGCGGGTGGCGCCTCCCCGCTTAGCCCCTGTGCCGCCGGCCGCGGGGCAGGCGGGGGAGGGGGGCCGGGCGGAGGACCGGACTTTTGTTCTGTGTCGCGCAGGTGTTTGAGCAGCAGGCCCTGGCCACTCTGGGCAGCCCAGCCTCGGGCGCGCCGTGGAGCTGGGCTCAACGAGACCCTCGACTGAGGGTTTCCGAAGGTGGGGGGGGGGGTGTCAGGCCTGAGGAGCGCGCGTGCTTTTTGCTGTTGTTGACCGGAGCGCGGAGGAGAGCAGCAGACATTGCTAGACGCACAGAAAGAGAAATAGAAGGGGTCTGGGGGAAAAGGAGGAGATAAGAAAGGGACCCAGAGCCCAAGAGGAGAGTTCCCGAGGCCAGGCCCAGAGGGCGCCCGCCGGGTCTGGGATCAGAGCCCCAAGGAAGAAGGGAGGGCAAGGAGAGGAGGGGCGGCCTCTCCCTAAGTCCTGGGTCCCCGGAATCTCCAATCTACTCGCAGTTTCGGAGTCTCTTCGAACTCCTGCCTGGGGACCCGCAGGGTTCGCTGTTGGGAAGCTGTCTCGGGACGTTGTGCGAAGCGGGAGGGGGGCTGTCAAGTTGGCAGGGCTGGGGCTTGGCGGGGTATGCAGCCAGGCTGGAATCGTTGGCCATTTTGAAAGTGGGTGCGCACACCTGTACGTTTCCATTCGGTTCATTAAAACACGAGTCATTAACCGGATGCGAAAGGCGTCATTTATGCCGGGGACGAGGCACCGGCGGGAGGGAAAACGCCGAAAAGGAGGCGGGCGCAGAGGGTGGGGGCAACTGTGAATGGCCCTTGGCTTGGGGTCCGCTTTGTGTTTCCACTAATTTTCTCGAGGGCGCTAATAATTACCCTGAATCTACAAGGGTGATGCCGGCTCCAGGGGCTCCCAGGCGCGCTGCCTGCGTCACCCTGCCCGGAGAGGTCAGGTCCCGGGGGCACTTCGACTTCCACTACCCCTCGGCTTTGCCTCTCGGCCGCGGGACAGGGCCGGACGGCTTCGGGCAGCAGCCCGCAGCCCCCTTGATCGCCTGTCATTTCTCGGCCGCCGCAGGTGTACGCGCCCGAGAGGGACGAGCACGTGAAGAGCGCGGCGGCGGCGCTGGGGCCGGCGGCCTCCTACCTCTGCAGCCCCGAGGCCCACGGTAACGCCTGCCGAGCCCGCCGGCCACCGCGATGGGGACCGCAGGCAGAGGGCCGGGGCCAAGGAAGGCCTGCGAGGGAAGACAATGAGAGAAAGACAGGGACGCAGAAAAAGCGACAGAAAGAGGGAGAGGGAGAGAAAAATAATTGGGGTGGGGGGAGCTAAGCTAGTACTCCCAACAACTTCCATCGTTTGATTACTTAAAAACAGTAACAACCCACCCTCTCCACACACACACACACACACACACACACACACACACACGCATGCTACAGCGCACCTCACACACAGGGTTAAAACCTTTTAAAAATCACACCTGGCACCTCCTTCAAGTCTGCCCATTTATTCAGCAAGTGTGCTTGGCCGCGGGGTCCCCTGTGGCCAGGCCGGGTCGGGACGGAGGAGGGGGCCGCGAGTGTGGGCACCCCAGAAGCGCCGGGGTAGTAGTGGCCCAACGCGGCGGGGGTGGGCGGGGGGCCTGCATCTGCGCACGGGACCAGGTTGCTCGCAGAGGAGGGGTTGGGGGCCACAGAAATCTGGGCAAGTCGAGGCCGCCGAGCTCCCGGCGATGTCCCCGCATCCACCCCGAAGGTAGCTGCCTGGGCTGCGTTCTCCGCGAGAGTCGCGCAGGCAGATCTGGCGGCCACGCGCACTCGCGGCGCCCCAATATCTGCGCGCGATGTAGGTCGCACGTCCCTGGTGGGCTCGGCTGCTCGTCTTGCTCTTTTCCAAGGCGCTGGGGCGGGGGCGCGAGGCCGGGGATGAGCAGACCACGCGCGGGGGAGGGGGTGCCCTGCCCAGAGCCTCAGGGCGCGCGCCTGGGCGCACAGCCGGGAACCAGAGGCGGCCAGGACGCTTTTAATTAGGGCTCGGGCGCCCCGACCGCGGCAGCTTTGGCGGTATCCGGGTCACGGTTTCTTTGCCTCTCCTTGAAACTCGGTTTATTGCCTTTAAGAGCCAGATAAGGAAGACAATCATTCGACCGCCGACGATTTGGAAACGAGGAAATCCTATCCAGACCAAAGGAGTATCTCGCAGCCAAGTCCTGCAAATACAGACCGAGGTGAGCCCTCAGACCCTTCGCCCCCCGCCGCAACCGGGAAGTGGGACCCAGATCGCCCCGGTTCCCGCACGCTTGCAAGGAAGGCTTTCAGTCTAGAGTAAGCGGCTGCTGGTTTTCTTCCGCGGCCAGGAGATAAACATTTAAATAACGCGGGGGAGGTGCAGACCAGGTTTCCTGAGTTGCTACCTCCTTGGTGGGTTTGGGGCTCTTCCAGGCAAGGGCAAGGGGTGTATTAAAAGGAAATGGAGGAACACTTCTATCCACATAAAACAGGTCAAAGGGCACTTCCTGCCCTAAGACCATCTTCCTGGGTCGGCTCTCCTACAGTGGGTCACTCTCCTAACCCCCAAAATGATGGCTTGGATGGTGAGTAGTACTGGATGCCTGTAACTGTCTCCTCCAAAGGCACAGGGTCAGGAGTAAGGTCCCTGACTTGGCACAGCTCCTGGGAAGCTCACTCCTCCCCTCCCAAGGCCTCTTCCAGGATAGAACTCCTTTCACTTCCCTTGTATCCCAGGCGAAGATGGCTTTACCCTGGATGTCACAGGAACTCAGCTGGTGGAGAAAGACATTGAGAACCTGGCCAGAGGTGAGGTGAAATCTGTGAAAAAGGGGTACACTATGCTTGAGGGAGATGGGCCCTTCCTATAGAGGGGCTGTTATGCCTGTAGGGGGTGAGTGTGGGAAAGACATGGCTCTTGGGAGGATCAGTTTTCGTTGAGTGGCAAGGGTAATCCTCTGGACACATTATCCTGGCACAGAGGGGTGTGTGCGGGTAGGAGGTGGGGGGAATGAACCAAACCCCCAGATTGGTATTGGAAGTTTGGGTCCCTAAGGCCAGGGTGTGTCTGAGTAGCCCAGTAGGAAAGAGAAATGAGTAATGATTCTCAGAACTTGATGTCTGTGGACAATCTGGGTCTCCCAAACTCAATGGAAAACAAGAGTTTCTCTGAACAGCAAGGTTGCAGGGAGGCATTTATCTTAGGAATGTGTAAGAGGTTATCTTTTTTCCCTGGGATTAATGTATAACCACCCCCACATCACCTAAATGGAGTGAAGATGGAGCTTATTTGCAGAATGGGATCCCGGTGTTGCTGCTCAGTCTGCAAGGGATAGGGTATGGCTCCAGGCACAGAGAAAGGGAGTCTCTAGCCCCACTTTGCCCTTCCATCTTCCATTCCTGTGTTTCAGAGGAGCCTCTCCATGGGGGGCCCAGATACTAATGGCCCTATGGTCAAGGCAGTCCCCCCACTTTCATCCCTCTGGAGCAGGTTTCTGAGAGCACTAACGGAGCAACCCACACCTAGCTCCCTGCACCTCCCACCACCAGCCCTTGGATGGTCTTGGTGGGCGGAGGGAGACAAGCATTAGTGGTCTTCCATTCTTCCTAGTTACAGGTTTTACAGGATAGGCCATTACCTTCAAAATCATTGGTGCTTTATATGAGGGTTCTTAGCATGGATTTGGCAGTCTGGGGACCTCCTGAAATTGTAGGCAAACTGTTGTATGTATATTTTTCTGAGAAGGGAAAGCCTTGACCGGATTCTCCCTGATTTATATGGAAAAGAGGAATTAGCTCTGTCATTTGAAGTGGGAAATCAAGTTTTTGTGGCCAGCCTCTGAGGTTAGGGAATTAGGAACAACTTAAAGCAATGTCAAGCTGGTTAGTTCCTCGAGCCAGGGCCTAGAGGGGGAACATGGATTCCACCACCCTGAATTTGATTTTCCTGGGCATCCTACCCCCATGACTGTTTCTTCACCCAAATCCTTTGGATGCAGATGGGAAAGTCAGGGTGTGGAGGGCCTCTACTTATCGGTCCATCCTCCCCAACTCTTCTCCCAGAGCAGGGAGAGGACCAGGGCAAGGGCAGGCCAGGGCAGGACCTGGGTGCTTTCTGGGTCCCTTGAGTTTGAATCTCCCCCACCCTTTACCTCCCTCTCTCACCCCTCACAGACGAATTGCAAAAACTGCTCCTGGAACAAATGGAACTCCGCAAGAAACTGGAACGAGAATTTCAGAGTCTCAAAGGTACCCCATCCCCGCCCCACCCCACTTGGTCACTGAGCTTTCCCCCAGTGCTCCAGACCTACTGGGGCAGCCGGGTGCAGGCAGCTGCGGCTGGGCGCCCTGCAGGAGTCGGGCAACTCTCCTTTCCCAGGGTTTCCTGCTAGGCAAACGGCGGGGTGGGGGTGGGGTAGGGGTGAAGATGCGGGGAGAAGTGAGGAAGTGGAGCTGGGGGAGCGGGCTGTGCGTAACAGCTCTCACTTAATCAATTTGCACAGATAATTTTCAGGATCAAATGAAGAGGGAATTGGCTTATCGAGAAGAAATGGTGCAACAGCTGCAAATTGTCAGAGGTAAGACGGGAGTCAGGTGAGCGCGTGCACGGGCCGTAACTGCCTCTCGTCTGGCAGGAGCCGCAATGTTGGCTCAGTCATTTGGATTTAAATTGAAGGTAATTTAACAATTATTTTTTTTATTTAATATCCTTTGTATACTCTGATTAGCCTCAGAATGGCAAGCGAGCCCAGCAAACGGCTTGCAGGCATCATTACATGGAGTGATTGAACTTCTTATCGCGGCAATTTCCATGGTTTCTAAATTAAAAATCGAGGCGTAAAATTACCTGGGAAGTAATGCCTAAGTTTGCTTTAATTTTGGTTAGATCCGTCTGCCTTTAAGCGCCATCCCAGGCCATTTCCTCCCTCCGCCAGTCTGCAGTTTGGAGCTTTGCCACCCCCTCCCCCTGTCCCTGGAGTAGTTTCTGCGAGGGGCTGCGCCCTGGGGAGAGGATGAAGCCCGGGCTACGACCCGGCCGTGCAGAGGGTGAATGGGCCCGCTTCCTCACGGGCCCCTCCCGTGTCTTCCAGATACCCTGTGTAACGAGCTCGACCAGGAGCGGAAGGCGCGCTACGCCATCCAGCAGAAATTGAAAGGTGCGGAAGCCGGGAAACAAAGATAGGAGGGGTGCCGGGTGCTGGTTGTGCCGTCGAAGGAAGGAAGGAAGGAAGGAATGGAGGGGCGAGTGAGGGGGGAGGCTAGGGTCTGCATGGAGCAGAAGCTGAGAGGAGGGAAGTGGGAATTGATTTTAATGGGTAAATTATTCTAGAACTCTGGAGTAGGGAGAAAGAGCCCCTTGAGCTCTGGGCATCCGAAAATCTGCCTTCTAGAATCGACTCTGGCCTTGGGCAAGTCGACCCCTTTCTCACTGTGCTTCAGTTTCCTCTTCTGTAAAATGGGACTATTGAACCAGAGCAGTGATTCTGAATCACCAGGGTCTTTCTTCTATCCTGCTACCACCTGAGCCACTCAGTTGAGAACCCCTGGCCCCCAAAGGGTTGGGCGAGGCCAGGGAGGGGAACGGGGGACCTTGCGGGCGAGGTGAGGCAGGCGAGGCGCCCAAAGCGGCCTGCGCGACTCTCTCCCCAGAAGCCCACGACGCCCTGCACCACTTCTCCTGCAAGATGCTGACGCCCCGCCACTGCACTGGCAACTGCTCCTTCAAGCCCCCGCTGTTACCCTAGGGCCGGCCCGGCCGCCGCGCCCACGCGCCCTCAAGCCATGCTGCTCCCTCTTGTAAATAACCGCTGCCCGGGCGGCCCAGAGCGAGGAACAAGCCATTCCGACGTGACCCATGTAAATACAGCCGCCAGTCAGCCCGCCCTCCTCCCGGGCGCCCCGGCCCTGCCCTCCCCCTCCGGGGCGTCCCAGTCCAGGGCCCTGGCTCGGTTTCCAAGTGTAAATACTGCCTCGCCCTTGGGTTGAACTCCAGGGCATCGGACTTTTAGGGGTTAACTGGATCCACAGGGGGAAGAAAGGCGAGAGGGGGGCCTCTCCCCCCGCCCCAGTGTACAGCCTCGGACCCCGATTGTGAATACAACGTAGCAACTTCGCTGGCGCCGCCCCGCACTCCCAGTCCCGTCCACTTCTGACACTCTTGTTCCTAATGACAAAGCGGCTATGTGCAATGGATATAAATGTACTGTGAGTCTCTTGGTTCAGTATTAGGTTTACTTTATTTATGCTGTAAGTTATTTTGCTTCCTTCTCCGGGACCTACTTCCAGTCCCATTTTGCATTCCCCTTTGGATTTTGCTTTGTCCATTTTTTGTTGTAACCTCTCGACGTAACAGCACTTTAAAAGGGCGACAACTGACTCACGAGATGGCAACCACCTGGAGCCTGTTTGGGGAGACCACCCTGTGACTTTTGTTTTTAAAAAAAAAAAAAAAATCTGTCACTTCCTGGGGCTGCGGAGACGGGAGTGCGCGGGGTGGGCGGTGGTAGGGGATGGGGGCGGGATGAGGACTGTGCAACAGGTGGGGCGTGGGAACCGCCACGCAACTTCTGGGGCGCCCAGGGTTAGAATCGCGCCCGCTCGGGTGGGCAGCAGCCAGCGCCCCGACCTCTCCACCGGCCCCTCCAGACACACCCAGTTTCCGCCCACAGGCCGCTCCCTCTCCGCCTTTAGTACCCTCCCTTGGGACCCGGCTGCGGAGAGGGGACTAGGGCCCGGTCTCTAGCACCTCAATCCCTGGCTCTTCCCCGAGCTCTCTCGCAGGGGCCCAGAGTTCATTCGCGCCCACTTCCGCGCTTGCCGCACCGGGGAAAGTACCTCCGGGGCTCCCAGGAACAAGGCCCCCAGCGCAGAATCCCGGGTTCAACCAGAATTGCCCCTCCCGGTGGCGCGGGCCGGCCTTGGAGCCCTGGGGCGGAGTGGAGGGCCAAATTCCGAGCAAGGATCTCGGCCGGGCGGGCCTGGAAAGGAAGGCGAGACGTACACGGGTGTCCTCCCGCCCGCCCTGCCGCTGTCCGAAAGGAGCGGGCCCCGGCCGCATTTTCACGTGGTCCATTCTAGTCCGTGAGGTCTCGGTGAGGCCAGAGGCCGCAGGTGCCCGGGCCGCCGCGCTCGCCAGGCCGCGGCTGGGGCGTCTCACGCCGGGGTCGCGTTTGGAGAGGCCGCACCTTGCCGCAGGCCTCGGTTTCCACAGCGCACCTGCTGCTTGGGCTACAGACGACGATGCAAACTGCGGGACACTTTTTGTGTTCCGTTTTGCGGGGAGGAAAGCGTGGACGGAGTGGGAAAGCGCGCGGCGCTGGGAATCGGCCCGAGCTTCCAACCACCTCCTCGGCCGGCCAGCGGGGTCCCGTGTCGCGACTTCTGTTTTTCCTGGGCCTCCGTTTCAGCGTCTGTAAAATAATAGGCCTCTGTCGGTGCAAAAGCTCCGAGAGGGAGGCCTATCGCCCGACAGCGGGGGTGGCCGGGACCTGCGCCCCGACGGCCCCGCCCTCCGGACACCCGCAGCTCGGTCGGCCGCGCGGTCTGGCCGCAGCCGGGGCGGGAGCCCTCGGGCGCCGGCGGGGAAGGTTCGTGGGGGGCTGTCCGGAGGGCGGCGGGCGGAGCCGGCGAGTAGGGGGCGCGCCCTGGGCCGCCCCGAACGGGTGCAGACGGGGAGACCCGCTGCACCGCACGGGCAGTAAACCAGTCTCCGGAGCCCGCCGCGCTGGGGCTCGGAGCCCTCAAGCCGCGGGATATTCCGGGGGCTAAACCCAGAGAGGACACGAGGGGGATAACCGCGGCCAGGGCGCGTGACAAACGGCGAGGCTTCGCCTCGGGACGCGCGATCTCCAGGGGGAGATCTAGGGCCCTTTCACATAGGTGGGACCAACCTAACCTGATCAGTCCTCCGCTGCACCCTTGGAGAAACTGAGGTCCATAGAGGAAGTGACTTGCAACCCCCAGGGCACGCCAGGGCCCAGCGGAACTGGGACGGGGCCTGGCAGCTCCGGTGCTGGAGATGGCAGGCGGCGCCATTCCCCAAACCCACTTTTGGAAGTCGCACTTTCCTCCTCTGTAAAATGGGCATAACAGTTATCACCCAGGCTGGAAGTTCCTTGGCTGCAGCTCAACAAAGGAGCCTGGCAAATGTTCCTTTCCGCCCTTCCTTCCCAAATTGCCCCCAAATGGAGAGAAGCACGCAGGCAGCTGGAGCCCAGAGGAAGGGGCGCCCCATCTGGGTCGGAATCTCTGCGGAGTGGAGGTGTAGGCGGATCCGACCCAGAAAGCTCAGTTGAAAAAATCCTCTTGGGCTCCACGTCCCTTCAGAAGTGGTTTGTTCCCCCTCCACATGTTAATAACCAGACGATTGGTATGGATGTAATTATCAATAATTATACGAATTATTGCTGATTGCGGGGCTCGTAGCCACTTTAATTAGTTTACCAGATTCTAATTAAGTTAAACGAAACATTAATAGGGAAAATATGCTTTGAAAAAACCCAGGATTTTTAAAAAGTCTATTTCTCGCCGCATCGTTGCCACCTTGCGACAGATATTAGGCATTGCAGCCAATGCCCGAAGTCCCACATTAGAGTGCCTTCCTTGGCTCTCAGGGAGAAAAAGTGGGGCTTGGGGAGTTGCGAGGGGGCAGTTGGGCACAGAATGTCCTCCGGACTGTTCTTCCAGTTTGTTTTGTTCCCCACCCCTGGCCCCCAGCGGTGCCTACAGGAGGTCTGGCTCTAGAGTCCAAGGTCTGCGGGTAAGGGACAAGGTAAACATACCTCTTTTCCAGAGGAACTCCAGGCCCCTCTTGGAAGCTGCAGTAGGACAGTGGTCTCTATTCCCACCTGTCCCGGCAAATCCAGCGTGAGAGACCGCACAAAGTTCAAGATGCCATTGAGACTGCCTCAAGTTGCTTTATATTTCACTCCCCTGGAAGAAACCAGTCAGTTGCTTCCCACCTCAATTTTCTCTACAAATCCAGGTCATCTCTCTGCAAAAGCTCCTCTTAGAAGACCCCTCAGCTGCTGGGACACAGGTAAGCTCTGTGTTCTGTTAGCACTGGGTTCATGAGGCTAGCAGGGTACTCATCTCCCTCTGTAATCCTTGGTTGTATGTGTCTGTTTCCCACAGGACTATAAATACCTCGAAAACAGGGCTTACGCTTTGCTCTTCCTTGTGACCTCCAACACAGGGCCCAGTGCACCACTGGCACACAACCCATGTCTAGATGAAGTTAATGGGTTATCTAGGTGCTGAAAATGTCTGAGGGAAGGAATCCCTAGGTGCTTCTGGACAATAGCCACTGAGATGCAATTAAGTCATTTGCGTAAGGTTAATTAAGCACAGGCTTACTGCTCACAAAGAAGATCCTTCATCAATAGGATTAGTTTTTGGGGGTAGGTGTCAGGTAAGTGATTCTCAAACTAGAATAGGAAAACTTTCTTCCTGTTCCAACTGTGTCCCAAAGAGGGTGTCCTTCACTCTCTCACATATTGCAAGATCACCAGGCACATACTTGTCCACCCATTCCCAGCTACCCTGCTGTAAAGCATAGTATTGGTCCTTTGCAAAAAAGTGGCTCCTACCTTGACTTCAGAATAGCAACAGAAGCAGAACTGGATCTGCATGCTCTGTCTATTAATTCTAAACAGCCTTATAGCTCCTCCCCACCCTCAGAGGCAGCATAGTGTTTGGTTAAGAGCACAAACTCTGTATCGAGATTTGCTGAGGTCTCAATCCTGCTCTGCCATTGACTAGTTGTGTGACATTGGGCAAGTTGTTGAATATCTCTATGGCTCAGCTTCCTCAACTATCACGTGAGGAAAATAACAGAATCTACTTCATAGAACCGTTTTGTGCATGTAATGAGTTAATATGTGTAAAGCACTGAGAACAGTTCTTGGTACACAAGAAGTGCTAATATATTAATGTCTGCTAAGATTAAAACGTTCTCTGAGTTCATTTTCCAGCCCTGAGACTCAAGACAGGAATGCTTTGAAAGAGTCCCCAATGGGCCCCAGTCTGTGGCCCTCTGCTCCTCCAGGGGCCCAGGAAAGAGGACAACCCAGTGCTTTTTCAAGCTGCACTTTTGAACTTCTGGAGACACATTCATAAGAACCTACAAGCACCCAAGTGGGAAGGGCATCCTACAATGCCAACACTTTTGTTGACTATGTGTGTCCAAAGGGGCAAAGGGACTTGCCCAAGTTCTCCCAGCAAGTTGGTGCAGAGCCAGGAAAGTCAGCCAGGTCTCTGGGTTTTCCAGGACTAGGAACTGCCCGTGTCTTCCTAATTCCTGCTCCTAGACACGTTTCTTTACAACACTCTGAACAGTTCTTCTTGGCCAAGTCCCTCACTCTTAGATTCCATTTTACACCCCATAAGACCCCCTTCCACATACTTAGGCTAATAACAAGGATTCCTCGTCCTTGGCTGACAAGGTTGTTTTCTTGTTTGGCACCCCATAAAGAGACATCTAAAACTACTCACCCAATCGCCCAAAGAACTTTTGGCCTCCAAAGAACCAGGTATCTTTGGGAGACGAAAACCAACCACTAAAGATCGTCCTCTAACTCCTTGCATTGAAGGCCGTGAGCCAAGGAAGAGGCACAAGATGTCCCCCAGACCCCTGTTCTCAGCTGTTACCTTAAAATGATCATTTCACCTTCACTGAAGAGAGCAGAAACGGGTCCTGAACGGAACGCCCACAGGGAACCTGTGGCCTCTGACCTCGAGTCCTACT